GAAATAGGGCAGGAACAGAAAGATAAATACTACGTGATCTCACTTATATGTAAAACATAGATATAGAGAGTAGAAGATTTTTTGTAGGAAAAATGGGGAGATATTAGTCAAAGGGCATAAAATTTCAGTTGTAAGATGAATGAGTTCTGGAGATCTAAAGTACAGCATGATTAATGATTATATATCACATACTTAAAATTTGTCTAGAGAGTAGATCTTAAGTGTTCTCTCCATGAACACACATAACATAAAATTGTTACTATGTGAGGTAATGGATATGCTAATTATATTGATTATGGTAATCACTGTATACATATATCAAAACATCACAATGTATACCTTAAATATATACAATGTTTATTTGTAAATCATACTTCAACAAATCTGGAAAAAATAAAATAAATCTAAATGGCCACAGGATGGTGCCAAAACCTTGGTTGGTTAATATGTCTTTTCGGTGGAGCTTGCAAATTCCCTCTTCTATAGAAATAGAAGAGGGAATTTCCACCTTGTCTTAGCTATTTTACTCAAAAAAGAAATCCATTAAGGATAAATGAATTTGTGTGTGTATGTTTTCAAAGTAATAGTCTATTTCTAACAATGTTCTCAAGTCAACTGCAGACCTTACTTCACTGTCATTATTTTATACTTTTACTCATAAAACTGGAGTTCTGTAAACCCAGTGTAGCACATTCTCAAAATGGTGCAGAAGAGGGATACAATTCTATATTTATTTATCTAAGAATGAGACCAGTAGGATATCAATATAATAGCATTCTCTTTTTGGGAGGCATGGAGAAATTTTTCTATAGCACTTTTGGAAAATATAACAAGTTTCAATAAGAGATATTTGTAAAGCAGTTGAACTAGACACCCAGATATGACATTTAACCTGACTTATTAGAGGTAGTTCTATACCTCTACATATTCTTAACGAATCCTATATATCCCAGGATCCTTAACTAATCTGGAAAGTATGAATTAATGAAAATCCAAACCACATGGTCAAATTCTCTCATTTTTTTCCCCAAATTAACTTGCCAGTTGCTGAATAAACAACATGGAGTGGAGAAATTAGAAAATATAGAGATATAATTTTTAGCACCTTTTGGAGACTCAGATAGGGATCATTTATTCACTCAACAAACATTCTCTGAGTGTTTACTATGGGCTAAGGACTATGATTTTAAGATTGGCAGATTACCTTTAATGCCATCAACTACCACCTTCTAGAACTGTAAATGCCACAAGGACTCAAGCTGATGAGGATCACCAAGCATAAAAACTTTCATAGTATCAAAGTCTAGAATCATAACTCTCACCCAGTCTTAAGAAGCCTGTAGCATGTTTTGGTGGCAAGGTGCCAGAAAACAGCAAAATCAGGAGACATATATGCCATTAAATTATTTTTAAGTGCCACAAAATATTAAGATATGACCAGTGCCACTGACATCTAGGACAAGCTCTACCAGTTGCTCGAGCAGAGGTCAGCACACTGTATCTTGCAGGCATAATATCTGCTTTTTAAAGTGAAGTTTTGGCCAGGCATGGTGGCTTGTAATCCTAACACTTTGGAAGGCTGAGGTGGAAGGATCACTTGAGGCCAGGTGTTTGACACTAGCCTGAACAACATGGGGAGATCCCATCCCTACAATAATTTTAAAAATTAGCCAGGCAAGGTGGTGCACGGCAGTAGTCCCAGCTACTCCGGAGGCTGAGGCAAGAGGATCACTTAAGCCTGGGAGGTTGAGGCTGCAGTGAGCCATGATTGTGCCACTGCACTCATAAGCCTGGGTGACAAAGTGAGACTCTGCCTAAACAAAAGAATAGTTTTATTGGAACACAAGTATGCCCATTCATTTACACATTGTCTATTGCTGTTTTTGTGTTGTAACAGGAGACTTAAGTAATTGCAAGAGAACTTTTTGTCTGCAAAGCCTGCAATCTTTCCTATCTAGCTGTTTAAAAAAGTTTGCTGACACATGCTCTCGATTCTCAAATGCCACCCATCTATAAACACAAGTGTCATTAATTCGTAGAACCAGATTTTCTTCACATAGTTTAAATCAAAACTATTACTGTGCAACTAACACCCAGAACACAACTGCTTCGATAAGTAGACAAGCAAAAAACCATCTTGGGAGAAGCAAGTAAGCACTGGCAAAAGCTGCCAAGAAAGTTTGTAGATGATATCTTTGTGTTCCATTCAGAATAAGATTATAGAACATATATTATAGGTTTCTATAATCTATAGAACATTTCCATGTTAATTCTCAGTTAAATTCTCATGTTGTTACTGACCATAATTTTCACTTTTCTTAGGAATATTGTTTCTGAACAAGAAGAAACAAAAAGAAGAAAGTTATATATATATATTGTACTTTGGGCTCTGGGGTACATGTGCACATCCTGCATCCTGCAGGGTTGTTGCATAGGTACATATATGCCATGGTGGTTTGCTGTCTCCATCTCCCACCCCTCCCACCCCATCACCTACTTCAGGCATTTCTCCCAGTGTTATCCCTTCCCATCTTCCCCCCATCACTGCTATACCTCTCCTCCCCTCCCTTCCACCCCTCCTCCCCCGCCACCTAACCCAGTGAGTGTTGTTCCCTTCCCTGTGCCCAAGTGTTCTCATTGTTCATCACCCGCCTATGAGTGAAAACGTGTGGTGTTTGGTTTTCTGTTCTTGTGTCAGTTTGCTAAGAATGACGGTTTCTAGATTCATCCATATTGCTACAAAGAACACAAACTCGTTGTTTTTTATGGCTGCATAATATTTCATGGTGTATATGTGTCACATTTTCCCTGTCCAGTCTATCATCGATGGGCATTTGGGTTGGCTCCAGGTCTTTGCTATTGTAAACAGTGCCTCTATGAACATACCTGTGCATATGTCTTTATAATAGAACGATTTATAATCCTTTGGATATATGCCCAGTAATGGGATTGCTGGGTCAAATGGAATTTCTATTTCTGGTCCTCGAGGAGCCACCACACTGTCTTCCATAATGGTTAAACTAATTTACAGTCAAAAGTAATATTTTTAACATATATGAATTATTCTTGATATTAGTTCTCAGTTTTGGAAGTGCTGATTTCATTAACCTTGAAATATTGGAGTTTGTATAAAAGGTTATGAATATAAATGAACTCAATGTTAAAACCTGTCGACATCTACTTTAAATAGCAAAGTAAATACTGTTAGAAATAAAAGGCTGTTGTGGCAAGCTTGGTGACTAGGTTGATGCGAGTGCTGGAAGGCAGACAGATTATGCTGTATAGTGCTCATCTGATACTTGCTTTTTAAAATGCAAAGTAAAAATTTCATGTCTGGCTTTGTGTAGCAAGGTTAGAGCTCGGATACAGAAAGAACAGATTGGCTGATATCTAAGACTTAGACATCGGTCTGAAAACAAAATGTTCTTGAGAGTAAGCAAGAAATCTAAACTATTTATATGTTAAATGTTACACAAGATCCTTGGCTACCGTCAAAGATAAACAACAAAAGACATACATTAGAATCCTAATGTTATTCAGCTGACTGTGTGACATTAGGCAAGATACTTAACTAATCTGAATCCGGGCACTTCATGAATAAACTGAAGCTCATCATGACCATTATCATTACCTTCATTCTCACCATTATCATCATCATTAGCGTCATCATGATATAACCTTCACTGGGATTTGGAAGTTGTTTATTATAAGTCACTGTTACATAGATCATCTCTTTTAATCCTAACATAAAACATATATTATTGTCCTTATTTGACAGATGAGGAAACTGAAGCTTAAAGTAGAAGTAACACTCTGAAAGTAACACAAGAGTCAATGACAGAGTTGGGCTGCTCCATGACCCAGTCTTTTAACCCCGTGCTAATGAAAATTCTTTTCTGGTATATCCATACATGACTGGTGGCTTTTTTTTTCTTTTCTTTTTTTTTTTTGTGAGACAGAGTCTTGCTCTGTTGCCCAGGCTGGAGTGCAATGGCATGAACTCTGCTCACCACAACCTCCGCTTCCTGGGTTCACGCGATTCTCCTGCCTCAGCCTCCAGAGTAGCTGGGATTATAGGCATATGCCACCGTATCTGGCTAATTCTGGTGGCTTTTTATAAACAAAATATTTTGTTTTCTCCTGGGTATTTTTTCTGCATATTCCAAATTTTCTCCAATGATAGCATACATTATTTTCTCTTTTTTCAATTTTTATTTCTTCGACACATAATAATTGTACCTATGTATAGGGTAGATAGTGAGTTTTTATACATACCAGGTATAGCAATAAAATCAGGGTAACTAGCATAATTATCAGTTCAAACATTAAAAATTGTTTCTATGTTGAGAATATTCAAAATCCATTCTTCTAGTTATTTGAAAATATGCAATAAATTATTGTTAACACTAGTCAACCTATAGTGCCATAGGATTGTAGATCTTTCTCCTTCTATCAAGCTCATTACCAGTGGCTTTCATGTAAGTTTTTGGAAAGAAGTTTCCAAAGCGTATTAAGAATCAAAAAGTATTACTGTCCTTTTATCTGGTAATCTCACTTCTGGGAATATTGTTATAATACATGGATCAATTATGCAAAAAACTGGAATATACAATTATGTTCCTATTATGAGGCCAATTCTGTAGAGTTCTGCATAAATATGACAAAGGCATGTGGGAATATAAAGAAAAATGTTAAATATTGTTTCTTTTTTTTTTTGAGACGGAGTTTCGCCCAGGCTGGAGTGCAATGGCGCGATCTCGGCTCACCACAATCTCCGCCTCCTGGGCTCAGGCAATTCTCCTGCCTCAGCTTCCTGAGTAGCTGGGATTACAGGCACGCGCCACCATGCCCAGCTAATTTTTTGTAGTTTTAGTAGAGACGGGGTTTCACCGCGTTGACCAGGATGGTCTCGATCTCTTGACCTTGTGATCCACCCGCCTCGGCCTCCCAAAGTGCTGGGATTACAGGCTTGAGCCACCGCGCCCGGCCAAATATTGTTTCTTGAAGTGGTGATATTTCCAGTGAATTTCTCATTTATTATTGTCTTTATAATCTGTACAGGTAATGAGGAAATTTGAAACATAACATATATACACCTGCCCTATGTACCTCACAGGATAATTGTGAAGATCAGCCAAGAAGATGAGTAAATGGTACAAACTTGACAAACTGTAAGACAATTGAAATACCATAAAAAACACCAGGCTGGTCTGGTTAGGAGGAGAAATCTTGCATTCAAATTGAACAAAACCCTGAGATCCCAGGACAAGTAGGTTTGGCTGCTCCTCTCATCTACCCTTGTGATCTGGGCCAGAGATCTGAAAACTATGGCCCAGGGGCAAAATCCTGTCCACACTCAGTTTTTGTATGATCTATGAGCTGGAAATACTTTTTAGATTTTAAGTGGTTCAACGAAAAAATAAGAGATTTCATGACCCATGAAAATTATATGAAATTCAATTTTCAGTGTACATAAATAAAGTTTCTTTTGGAACAGAGTAGCACCAATTTACTTACTTATCCATGGATGCTGCATGCTATGGCCGCAAAGTTGAGCGGTTGCCATGAGACCATATTGCCCACAAAGCTTCAAATACTGGCTATCGTGGCCGTTTACTGAAACAATCTTCTGACTCTTGATCTAGGCAACTTCAGCTCTTCACATCTTGTCTTGGCCTCATGGGAACTTTATTCTAGAGAATTTTTTTCCCAGTTGAGCTTAAGTGGTTAGAAATACTGCCTTTTCCTAGTAATTAGGCTTTAAAAAATGTTTTCAAAACATTCCAGAACATTGTAAACAGGTCTACAATGCAATGTTTGCTAACTCACAAATATGTGTTCTGGTAGGTGCTCAGTCGGCGAGACAGAGGACCTTCTTGGGCATCAAGATCTGCTCAAAGTTTGACCCCTCTGGGCTTCTGTTTCCTCATTTATCATAATGAGGAAAACTGGATGATTTCTGAGGCCCCATTCTACGTTTCTACAATGGCTTGTGTTATTTTAAAGGTCGGTGGTTCCTCGTGGCTATTATATGAGTGCTTTTGCTTCTTTGACAATCTGCCTGTCTCTGGGACAATTAACCAATCAAGTTTAAGGCTGGTGATTAAAAACTTAAATGCCTGCAGGGACTAGACAGGTGGAATAAATGAGAGAACCCACCTGAGTTAATAAAGAATCTGTGTAAGCATTGAGGTGTGCTTCAGAGTACAGCAGGTCCTGGAATAACATTGTTTTCTTCAGTATCATTTTATTATCATGCCGATGAGAAAAAAAAATTGATTCTGGGCTGGGGCCACTGTCTTCATGATTTCGTGTTCTTAAGTCTGCATGGATTTTCTCCAGATACCCTGGTTTACTCCCACATCCCAAAGACGTGAGGTTCACTGGCATATCTGAATTGTCCCCATTTGAGTGAGTGTGGATGTGTGTGGGAGTGCGTCCGTGATGGAATGGCGTCTTGTCCAGTGAGGGTTTGTTCTTGGACCAAACTGAGGGTCACGCTGCTGTTTCTTGTAGCCCAATAATGAGACTCAGATGAACTGGGAGGAAGACTGTTTTTATTTATGTAACCGGTTACAGGGAGAAGGCCTGGAAATTATTTCCAGAACAACTCAAAATTACAAAGTTTTCCAGAGCTTATATACCTTCTAAGCTATATGTCTACATGTAAGTGTGCATTCATCTAAAGACATAAATGATTAACTTCTTTTAATCTATAACTAGGGTCTGAGTCCTGAAGACTTTCTTCTGAAGCCTTAGTAAATTTACTTAATCTAAATGCGTCCAGGTGTGGGGGTGATTACCCTTCTCTGGTCTCCTGGTAAATCATGGAGGTTTGGGAGTTCTTTAGACCTGCAATAAACTTTCTTATGGAGGCCCGGGGAGTTTGTTCAGACCTCCCAATAAAACTTGTTTAATCCTAAATGGGTCCTGTTAATTACTTCATTATTTTGTCATGCTTTAAGACCCAGGAAAGACCTAGGCAAAACTCTTGGTGGGCTTCTGTTACATTCCAGCCTTTGTGTAAAGGCACTGGTGCAATCAGCTTTTAATGTTTAACCTAGCTACTCAGTCAGTGCTGGGACAGTTGTAATGGAGGCCTGCGTTAGTGAGATCTGGCCTGCCAGGGGCTTCCACCTCGTGACCCAGCTGCAAGAATGGGCTATGGTCACCCATGACCCTCAACTGGAATGACTGGGTAAATAGTTACCTTACTTATTTTTGTTATGTTTTCTGATTTGTATGTATAGCTCACATTTATTTCAATGTTTAATACTAGAAGTCTTTTGACCTTTATTTAGATGTTTGATGATGTTTTTGTGACCAGGAATATGCCATAGGAACTTAACTCTTGTTTATGTCAATTAGCCTATTATAAAATTGGTTTTCTTATGTAACTACTGAACCAGTTTTGACTGGCTCTACTCTATTAATAACAGGATATTAAATTATTTTACAGGCACCGAGTGAAGAAATTGCAAGTCATACAGTGGAAGTATGCACAGAAAAGATTTCAACCTCAAATAAAATCTGGCACTGAAGTTTCACTCTTCTCATGGAACAAATGTATCAAGACTTGGTCAGAACTGAAGGCCAGAACACTTTCAAAAGTGAAGGGTTGCAAGCTAAGGAATGGTAGGTGTTAGGGTCCCTTACCATACTTTACTGCATATGGTCTTGTTTAAAGTTCTTCCAATCAAAACCTACTTGCCAGCACTTCTGCATACCAGCCTGCTCTCTCTAACCCAAAAAACTAGCCCCAGACTCCAGATGTCTATTTTACCTCTAGTACTGTCTCCTGTCTCCTTGCCAGCCAACCTCACAATAAAGCCTTTTTTAAAAAAAAAAAAACAAAAAACTGGTGTCATAGTATGTGTGTCTATGTTAATCAGGAAGTGAGCACATTGCTTGGCAACAGGTATACATCATGTCATTTAAAGCTTCAGTTTTCAAGGACCTATAAATGATGTTAGGTGATACTGTAGTTGGCCTATCTGAAGGGAGCAGCTATAACTCAGCTCCAGCTGACTATTATTAATATGTGTTGGTAGATCTTTCACATTTTCGAGAGATGGATTTTGATGTGAAATCGAATATATAAATGTAGGCAACTAATTCAAATTTTAAAAAATACTACATAGCCCTTCCTCCCCAATTCCTGAATGCAGTGGGTCTTTGAGTTGCCATTTTAAGAACTCTTACCTCTATGCGTAGAGAAATTTTTACACGACTTTCCAATGCGGATGGACAACAAAGTTTCAAGGAACCCTTGGCCAACTGAAAATCCTGTCTTTGGAGCGTAACACTAAGCTGAGGTTGCAGAACATGTGTTTCCAAATGAACTTGGGTCTTGTATTCACTGAGAACTTGCAAGATTTAAAAAAGCTTTCAGTTTTATGACTCTGATTTTCAATAATAATACTTTTACAACTTTTTAAACAAGTACCCACTCTCCACATTCACTTGGAAGCTGATCTTTTATGTTTGGCTTCATGTCGTTAGCTAGAACAGATTATTTAGCTCAATCAGAATGGGAGTAAAGAGTCTGGGCTTGCCATATAAATAACTTCTGAACACTATCTTTTCCTTTCTTCTTTTTTTAGATTAGGAGGACATGTGATATATTTATTTATTCTATGGATATTTATCAAGTGCCTACTAAGTGTAGGAACTGCTCCAGGTGCTGGGACATAGTAGTAAACTAAATAAAGTCTTGCTGTCATAAAACTTACATTCTAGAAGGGAAAACAGACAATTGACAAATACATATTAGACAGTGATAAGTGCTAGGAAGGAAAATGAAACCAATGAAACGTAAGGAGATAGAGTGATGGGGTGTATTATTTTAGATGGTATGCTCATGGAGCGCCTCCCTGAGGAGGTGACATTTCTGCAGAGATCCAAATGAGGTGAGTAAGCCATTAGAATGTTTCTAGGCAAAGAGAACAGCACGTACAAACACTTGGGCAAATTTCTTGGTGTGTTTGAGGAATGTCAAGGGGACCAGTGTAGATGGAGCTGCTGTCAGCCAAGAGAAGAGTAATAGGAAATAAGACCCATCAGGTAGCCAACTACCGTAGCCTGTAGGGTTTTAGAAACATAGTGAAGACTTTTATTTAAGAATGTAGGAAAGCCGGGCACGGTGGCTCACGTCTGTAATCCCAGCACTTTGGGAGGCCGAGGCGGGTGGATCACGAGGTCAATAGATCGAGACCATCCTGGTCAACATGGTGAAACCCCGTTTCTACTAAAACTACAAAAAATTAGCTGGGCATGGTGGCGCGTGCCTGTAATCCCAGCTACTCAGGAGGCTGGGGCAGGAGAATTGCCTGAACCTGGGAGGCGGAGGTTGCAGTGAGCCGAGATCGCGCCATTGCACTCCAGCCTGGGTAACAAGAGCGAAACTCCGTCTCAAAAAAAAAAAAAAAAAAAAAAAAAAAGAATGTAGGAAAGCCATTAGAGGGGTGACATCATCTGATCACCTTTTAAGAAGCTCACTGTGGCTGCTGTAGGCACAACAGTTTCCAGCAGGGGTACCTGTTAGGAGGCCATCGCAGTGATCCAGGTAGATGAATGATACACTAGGCTGGTAGCAGTGGATTTGCTGAGAAGCAGTTGGATTTGAATAATATTTTCAGTGGGTTAAGTAACTTCTGTTCATTGTTTAAGATAATTCAAAGGCTGTCTTTTCTGAGAGATATTTCCTGAACTCTTCCTCCATGCTAGGTTGAGTTTCTCTCTCCTGTGGTCCCCAAGCAGTCTATGTTTACTTCTCTTTGACATATTACTTTTTATTAAGTGCTTTATTATGTATCTGCTGTATCTTGTCTGGCTGTAAATTCCTGTTTTAGGCCCAGGACCATGCCTTATTTCTTCGTACTGCCTGGCACTGTACTTGCACATAATTGCTGTTGAATGAATGATTGTTTAATAGGCGTATAATCAAAAATATGAATAGAAAATGTGATTGGGAAGAAGAAAATGGACATGGAGATAAGCTGAATCTAGTGTCACATCATCGGTGGTTTTAATTTTGGTGGAATGCTTTTCTCTGGATTTGTTTGGTGATCAGTCTTATCCTTGTGGTCATTCTTGTATCTCTATCAAACAGATTGAAAAATTCCCTTCAAGTAAATGGATCTGAAGACAAATTCTGTGTCCGGGAGTCATAGAAGTTAATATAACAAATTAATGAATATGTAACTTCTGAAATTTCATAAAAACCACTTTTAAATTTTCTCTGCCTTTGAGAGTAGATGGTAATTTGAAGTTTGTTGATGGTGGAGGGGTAATTATAGACATGCTGTTTATCTCTCAGCTCCTCTGAAACGGAAGCATTTAAATAATATGTTATATGTTTATAAAGCCTCATATTCCATATGTCAAATTTTCTTTTAATTTGAATATAAAATATAGAAGATAAAAGTGTCAAAAGGATCTTACCGGAGAAGTCCTTTTTAGTCCTTTTTTTGTTGTTTATTTTGATGTGGTAATGCCCTAAAATGTATAAAATGAACATGCTTTTAAAATGCAAAAGGAAGAATGGGATGAGCAGATTTGAGCCAAGGAGCAAGCTACCAGAGGCCAAATTATTCTCCTAGCTTGACTATTGGCTGACTTTGTGGATTTGACCAGGGAACATGGAGTAAAATAAAAGCAAGCACCATCATTCATTCATTCATTCATTCATTCATTCACTCAATCCATAAATTAACAAACAACTGCCAAGGAATGGTATTTGCATCAGGCATACTCAGTACCAAGGAGGGGAGATTCCATCAGCTAGAGATTGTGTTCCATCGCAGGTAACAGAAAACCCAAGAAGTGGCTATTTTTCACATACAATGAGAAGCCCAGGGACAGGCAATCTAGAGGAGTAATTGTTGCTTCATGAAAGCTCCTTCTGGCTCTGTTCTGCTGCCCCTTAGAGTATAGCTTCCATTTTCATGATTACGAGATGTCTGTTTTACCTCTAGTGCCATGTCTGCATTCCAGACATTTTTAATGTATCTTCTACCAAGCACAGCGCCTAGCTCATAAGAGGTACTCAAATATTTATTGAATAAATGGTGATTCAGTGAAAAAAATCTGAAGCTGTACAAAAGTGAAAGCTCAGTGTTCCAAATTATTTAATAGCCCGTCATCATCAGATGATCCGAGCAATTTATTTTTGCACAGTTGCAGGCTGTGTTCTCCAGAAGGAGAGAGTAGACACTGAGTTGTCGTCTGGGGTTCAAGATGTTTATTAAAGATCAGTATCTGTATGAGGAAAAGAGTTGGAAGCAATATCAACTAGAGGAAAAAGCTAACATGCAGTGCAAGCCCAATGAAGCCTCTGTAGGTAGCCCGAGAACAGGCATTGCCTGTTAGACTGGTCTTCTGTTGAGTTGAAATGACCCAGTTTCCATATCCCTACTCTCTCCTATCCCCTGTCACTCTGCTTAGTCACCTGATGAAGGCTGCTGGGAAGAATGTGAACTTGAGTGAGGTGGCTTTCTGCACCTAAGACTATGAAGAAGCTACAGTAGGAGGCTTCCTGGTGACTGCACCCCCCACTGCTGGGTAAGAAGTCCTTTCTTGAAGTGATCTGAGTGGCAAATCTCCATATCTGCTATAGTATGATATTTCACGTTACCTGTCATGACACAAAAATGAAATGACAAGATCTAGGAAACAAAAGGAAAGAAGCAAGAGGGAGGAGGAATAATGAGAGCAGAAAGCTCAGCTCAAGGAAAGAAAGTGTCTTAGTCAGCTTGGGCTGTTATAACAAAATACTACAGGCTGGATGACTTAAACAACCCACATTTATTTCTCACAGTTCTGGAGGCTGAGAAGGCCAAGATCAAGATGTCCACTGATGTGGTTCTTGGGGAAGGCCCTTTTCCTGACTTGCAGACAGCAACTTTCTTGCTGTATTCTCACATGGTGGAGAGAGGATTCCTTCCTTTTCTTGAGGAATAGCACTTATTCACAAGCTTCCTTCATTCTGTCCTTTTTGAATGTTTAGTCTCAGCCGGCAGTGTTTCTACTGATATAATCCCATCTCTTTTCTGGCTTCCGTTGAGATCGCCGATTAGGTCTGTGGTTCCCACTTACACAAATCTCTGTAAGTGATTGGTTAGACACACGCTTGGTATTTTCTTCTGCACATGATTTCTCTTTTTTGTTTTTGTTTTTGCAATATAGACAGGCTGGGAATTTTCCAAATCTTTAAGTCCTGGTTCCCTTTTGCTTAACAATTCTGTCTCGACATCATTTCTCTTTTTTTGCATTATACTCTGAGCAGTCAGGAGGAACGAAACCAGTTCTTCAACCCTTTGCATAGAATATCAGATAAATATCCAGTTTCATCACTTGCAAGTTCTACCTTTCAAAAAACACTAGAAAAAGAACACAATTCGGAATAATTTTCTGCCACTTTATAACAAGCATTGCTTTGAAAAAAGTTGTTCAGTAACATGTTCCCCATTTCGGTCTGAAACCTTATCAGAATGGCCTTTACCATCAATATTTCTGCCAACATTCTGTTGATAATTAGTTATGTATTCTCTGAGAAGATGGTTTCTTTTTCATCCACTTTCCTCTTTCTGAGATCTCACTAGAATTCCATTGAGCAGTACCGTAACAGTGATCTTGAATTGTTCTGGTATGCATCTCAAAACTCTTCTAGCCTCTATCCATTTTTCAGTCCCAAAGGTACTTCTACTTTTTTAGATGTTTGTTACAGCAGGACACCACTTCTAGGTACCAATTTCTGTCTTAGCTCTGGGTACTATAAAAAATATCATAGACTGCGTGGCCTAAACAACAAAATATTATATATGTATGTTATATATACATTACATATAGTATGTAATATATATTACATATATGTTGTATATAATATATGGTCTTTTATATGTATCTGTCTAGCCTATACATACTTACACACGCAGTTTCTGTTCTTGGTGAGCGCCCTCTGCCTGGCTTGCAGACAGCCACCTGTATCCTGATCTGTCTGCCTGGTATGGTGGATATGAAAGGACCTCTTTTTAAAAGGGCACTAATTCCATCCTAAGAGTTCCATTCTTGTGAATTAATCTAAAACTAATTTTCTTCCAAGGACCTCACCTCCTAATAGCATCACACTGGGGGTTAGGGCTTCAATGTATACATTTTGAGGGGCCATAAAACCCCCCGTTTCAGTCCATAACAGAAAACGATGGCTACCGATGTTGGAACTCAGCATTGACTTCACCCATATAAACGCAACATCGTTAATGAATGATTTTCAATGGACAGAAGTCTGCACTTGGGCAGAGTTGCTTAACAGCAGCTAGTACTATTTAGAACTGATTTGACTGGAAGGAAAAGGCTTATAAATGGGAATTCTAATGCAAGTTGCTGACGGGGCTCTGAGTATGGAATCTAAGCATGGCAATCCCAAATAGAGCACCACCTTGTGGTTAGTCGAGGGAGCTGCTCATCTCAGGAAATGAGTGGTTGGCTTCCTGTTCCTTAAGAGTGAGCTGAAGTAGATGCTTTATTTTTAAAAGCATATATTTTTGAATTTTATCGTTACATTAATCATCTGCACATGGATACATAGCTGATAAGTAGTGCTTGCTTTTTATGACCCTCTAGCTTTGCCATTTCTTTCCCATATGCCCTCTTAAAATGTCCTTGGTTACACAGTCCTCTCACCTATATGTGATTTCTGGTCACTTTTTTACTCTCAGATGACTGCAACTAATCAATTACTGAGCTGAATCTGGCTCAGGAGTATTTGCCTTTCAATAACAAAAACTTCTTGAAAAGATAAATGCCTTAGGGAGTGTCTCAATAATAGTGTGTGCTGGACATTTTGGCATAAGGTGGAAGAAATGTTTTGGACAGAAAGAAAAGCAGGAAGAGAGGCGCCAGACCTGTTTAATCTAATTAATTCTATACTATCTTTATAGGAAATTAAAAAATATAATACAATTTTATTAATTATAAGCATAGCCTATTTTTTTGTTTCCTTTGAATATTGCAACTGATACATTTTCTCTTTTGCCAATGAAGGAAAACAAAAATATTTCACTCCAAAATATACTTCAGTGACATATTTCAAGAAGGCTATTCAGAGGGCCTGCAGACAGGAATAGCCCTGAAACGCTGCCTTTCCTGGAGGAAATTTGCATCTGGAGAGAAAAATCCACATTAGTGAAATAAATACCCAGGCTTTCTCTGAGGCCCTCCCCCTTATCCAGATCTAGAAAAGATGTACTCAACCACTAACTACCATCTGTTTTTTTCTGAGAGCTACTATCTGTGAGGTTTCATGTACATAACAAGCCCACCTTTGCCCTATGCCTTTCTTTTTCCCTCCTATAAACTTCTTGCCACACTCTAAGCCCATTTTTTTCTATAACGTCAAGATGGTATACAGGTGTTAACCTTCTGGCCCTTTCTTTGCGTTTTCACATTCTGTATTGCCTCCATCCACATGTGTGTGCAATAGCCAATTTTGTTTGGCTTTTCTCCTACTAATGGGCCGTTTGATTTTCAGTGAAACTTCAGAGGGTGTAGGGGAGGTTTCCCTTTGGCTTCTGCAGTTTTGTTATATTGAGCAGGATAACCAAAACCACTCTGTTCCTCTGGATGTCACATCAAAGGAACCCAGGACCTGACACGCCAGCTGTAAGGTAAGAATATCTTCCCAGTCATCTGGTATCTTCCCAGACATCCCAGGTGTCTGTCACAAATCCTGTTGAAAGGTTGGTAAAAATCGTGGATTTTCTCTTTTTCTTTTTCCAAATTAAGATTACTGGGAGAAAAGCATTTACAGTAGTCTTAGGCGAAGTAACTCTGGTTTATTTTTTAGTATAAATATCCATACATTTGATCCTTTCGCTATTAAAAGTAATGGCAAAAACTGCAATTACTCCTGTACCAACCTAATATCTCAAACTTCTGAAAGTTTAAGTGACTCTAGGATACATTCTTCCATTTGCTATGACTCTCCTTTTGTCACCTTCAGTCTCCCATCTAGTTTTCCTAAGTCATTGATATGTTCTCCTTCAAGACCTTAATTTATCCATTTGGTGGTCACTGGATGAAAAATTGCGGAAGGAAAATAAAAAAATTTCGATTCCCACATAAAGGGATCTAAAAGGTACTGCTAGTGACCCTGGGATCCCTTGAGGAACAAAGCCAAGGTACTAGTGACTGCTTTTTGCCCCCCCCACCTCTTCCCCCGCCTTTCTCATGAAGTCCTAAGAGTTATGAGTTGATTTGACCTTATTGGTTAACGGATATTGCCCTGAAATCAATGATCCAGTTAAGAAATTGAAACTAATTTTAAAAGCCACCTAGTCAACTAAATCTATATCCAAAGTACAATTTTATGGCATTTCACTGGCTATTTAAAAACGCTTTGTGGCCAGGCATGGTGGCTCATGCCTGTAATCCTAGCACTTTGGGAAGCTGAGGTGGGCGGATCACGAGGTCAGAATTGAGACCACCTGGCCAACATGGCAAAAACCTGTCTCTAATAAAAATACAAAAATTAGCTGGGCATGGTGGTGGGCACCTGTAATCCCAGCTACTCAGGAGGCTGAGGCAGGAGAATCACTTGAACCTGGGAGGCAGAGGTTGCAATGAGCTGAGATTGTGCCATTGCACTCCAGCCTAGGCGACAAAAGCAAGACTCCATCTCAAAAAAACCGCTCTTTGTGAGAGAAATTTGTAAAGAAAATCTCCATTTACAAGGGCACCTTCCTCTTTGCATCTAAACCATAAGAAATTTTATAATGAGAAAGGCATTGACTTAAAAGCTTACATAAAAATTCTTACTTTTATTTAAGATACTTTTCCTGGCTGCCTTACTTTTCTTGTCTGTGCATTTACCTAAACCCCTCTTTGTCTTGGCAGATAATTATGTTTAGATCTATGTTTTATGTCTTTGTGATATAAATTTTCTACCTTATTTTACCTAAGAGTCATACCTTTAGAAGTACAAATTTGGGGTTACCTAATTATTTTCTTTGGGCAGTAAAATGAATTATCAGAAAATTGATGGTCTGAATTGGGGAAAGTAAAACTATTTGGAAGCCTGCAAATGAAGAACCTTAATGAAAGCTGTGAGATCTACTTCTGTCTTTGTGTCTGTGTATATGTCAATGTGTATTACGTGTATGTGATATTGCTATGTAATCTGAGCTAATCTTTGGAAAGTAAAACTGTTGGTAAAATAAAATAGGCAAGTCTTCAGAATTGTCAGTACTAAATACAGTTCAGACATTTTTGTCTGGATCTACTTTCAGTTAGGTATATGCTGTCTCTGCTACAAGTTTTAACGTCATACAGCTGCTGCTTTTATAGTATTTTTTGTACTGGCTTGATTTGCCTATAAGCTAAAGAAATTAGGGCTGGCTTTTGAGCTCCCCTGAAGCTTTGCACACATCTTACTGTGAACTTTTGTTTTTGGTTTTTGGCCTCTGCATTCTGCGGTCTGTGTAGGTGGCCATAAGAAGAAGGGACATGTACGTGCCTGTGGTACCTGGGCCACCAGCTACCATCTTCACAGCTCTGTCCTCTGTCCTGGGCTGGTGTATGAATCCAGGACCCAAATAGCTGTTACCCTTCATGCCATCTTCGGTGCCACATGGTATATGGGACTCAGGACAACTGGGGAAATCATGGGGAAGGGTGGTATTTGTGTTATAGTTTCAAAATTCTTTTTAGTGATTTGAAACCTTAAAGTCAGGTTGTATTAGTCCATTTTCATGCTGCTGATAAAGACATACCTGAGACTGGGTAATTTACACAGGAAAAAGGCTTTAATGAATTTACAGTTCCATGTGGCCAGAAGAGCCTCACAATCACGGTAGAAGGCAAAGAGGAGCAAGTCACAATTTACATGGATGGCAACAGGCAAAGAGAGAGAGCTTGTGCAGGGGAACTCATCTTTTTCAACCATCAGATCTCATGATACTTATTCACTAGCATGAGAACAGCGTGGGAAAGGCCTACTCCCATGATTCTATTACCTCTCATTGGGTCCCTCCCACAACACATGGGAATTCAAGATGAGATTTGAATGTGGACACAGCCAAATAATATCATATGTTAAATTAAGGAATATATAATAATAAAGTGTCAAAGTCATTTCTAAGAAAGTTAAAATATGGAAACAATTATTAAACATAAGTTTATTTACTTTGACATCTTATTTTTATATGGGATAGAAACACTAAATATAATTAGAGCTGTAAATAAACAAAAAATTGCGAAAGCATATCTTTCTAAAAAATTATAAAATGGCTTTCATCTATAAATACTGATGTAAAACAGTCCAAAATTACTCATTTCCTAGGTTTCCCTAGAAATTAGCATTATTGAGTTAAGATTAAATATATATGATTATACATATGAGAATATATGTAATTAAAACTACTGAAATAAGAAATAATTCTATATGCAAAGTGTACAAAAAAAGTAAGGTATGTTTTTGGTGAGGAAAGTTATAAAGGCATGAGGATTACATTTGTTGAGAATGAAATAATTTTGTCTAGTTTACAAGTTATTTAAAGATTGTTTAAAGATTTACAGGTTATTTATAGATTGTTTCAAAATAAAGAAAAACATGATATTGATAAAACGAAATATCGCTTTCTGACAGGCCCAGGAACCTCAAGATATTTTGAGGTCTTCAGCTAAAGAGGAATTCACCTATTCCTTCCCTCACCTCCCCTCCGCTCTCCTCCCCTCTCCTCCTCTCTTCTTTTCTTTTTTCTCTCTCTTCCCTCCCTCCCTCCTTCCTTCCTTCCTTCCTTCCTTCTTTCCTTCCTTCCTTCCTTCCCTCCCTCCCCCCTTTTTTGAAACAGGGTCTTGCTCTGTTATTCAAGCTGACTTGCTTGCTTCCTTCCTTCCTTCCTTCCTTCCTTCCTTCCTTCCTTCCTTCCTTCCTTCCTTCCTTCCCTCCCTCCCTCCCTCCCT